GTATCACAGGGCTATTTTTCGAAAACGTCGTCCGTGGGATTCGAACTCTAGACCTGCCGTCTGGGGGTGCGACAACTCCACCACTTCACTAAGTCGCCACACCCTTTAAACTAAATAATTCTTATAATACTAAAAAAGAATTATTTAGTAAAAAAAATGAAATTGATAATATAGATTGTTTTGATATTGATAAATTTGATTTAGAAAATGATTTTTGGAAAGATATTTTTTATGATAGTGAAAATGAATTAGATTTATTTGAGGATGATAATTTAAAAAAATTAAATATTAATTATTATAATGATAGTTAATATAGTGATAATCAATATAGTAATAATCAATATAGTGATATTGAAGAATAAAATATTAAAAGTAAGAAAATTTTAAATAATCATAATTAAATTTAAATTTTAGAGTATAAAAATTAAAAAATATATAAAAAAAATTAAAATTAAAAAAAATACAAAAAAAAAATTAAAATCAAAAAATACAAAAAAATTAAAATTATAAAATATAAAAAAATATTAAAATTATAAAAGTATAAAAAAAAATGTTAAAATTATAAAAATATAAAAAAAATATTAAAATTATAAAATATAAAAAAAACTCTGGCTAAATTGTTATAAATATTTTTAAAAATTAAATTGATAAGTATATTAGTTTATTTTTTATTAGAATAATTATTAATTAATTTATTTATTTAATTTTTTAATTTTAATTATAAAAAATTTAGCAAAATCAGAATTAATTAAAATTTTAAATATTTAAATATTTCAATATGAAATTAATAAGATTAAATTACTTTATATTTAAATTTTATAAGAATTCTATGTAAATTTTCAACTATTTTTTATGTAGACAAAATCTATATAAGTATTTTTTATTTATAATAAATAAGATTTATAAGAAATATCATCTTAAACATTAAAAAAAAAAAGATTTATAAGAAATAACTAATTCGAACAAGAAAATAATTTTATTAATAATTCTGTACTGTTTTTTTTTATTAAACGCAAAAATTAAAAATTCTTCAGACTTGTAATCCTATTCTGCGCTGGATCCTACATGGGATGTGAATCCTGTGCAGGATCTACATGTGATGTGCAAAATTTTTGAAAAAACTGCGATTTGCCCATCTCTATTGGTAATACCATAGCCTGCCAAGATGCTTCGCTTAACCATCTGCTATTAATCTTTTTCAGCTTTATTTCAGTAAACAGAATACTCAGTAAATAAATAGACTTTGTACCTGATAGCAGCTAGGTAGAGTTTTGTTTGTATAAAGTACAAATATAAAGTTTTTATAGTTCAGTCTTTTGTGAAAATTTTGATATGAAGGATCATTGAGAAGAGTTGATTGAATTTTATAGTTTTAGTTACTAAACATAAGCTAAATTATATAGCTAAAAATGCTATTATTTTATTTTTTAATAAGTATTCAAATCTAGAAGCATTACTATTACCAAAAAATATTAAACAAGGCAAGGATTTTATAAATAATATTAAATTTAACTTGTTATATAAGAAAACTAAAATATTGGATCTTAATAATACTAAGTATTTCTTATATCATATACTTTTAATAAGCTATATCAAAAATATATTAAATATTTCTGATAAGCTTTAAATTTAGAATTTGAATATAAAAAAATATATAAAACCACTGAGATATATATTATTTTTAATTTTATTTGTAAATATAATTATAATTATTTTTTATCAGTATTAACAACTCTTTCTGATAATCCATTGTATCAAAAAAAAACAAAGTTTTTTTTTCTAAAAAACAGTAAACTATAGCAGAAAGAAGAAGTGTAAAGCTGACCAAAACTATAAACTAGCATCTGTTATTTAGAGATAGTTCTTATATGCTACTTGCTAATAGGCTTAAAGCTTATCACTTATAGTAAAGATGGCATTTGTTATTTAGAAGTAGTTCTTATATACTACTTGCTAACAAGTTCAGGATTTATTACCTACTGACAAGAAAGGTAGCAGTTTACTAGGCACTATACTACTTTCAGAAAAAAATATACGTTTCTTAAAAAACGTACAAAGGCTATTTTCTATACTATCACCTACTTGCTTTTTTTTCAAAATTTTCATAAAAAGTGGTCAAAACAGCTTACCCACATCAAAAGATCAGTATTGTTTACTTTTTCCAAATTCAAATGATCTAGTAGATTGCAACTACATATTTTGTTTACTATCAGACATAGTGCTACTTCATGGGTCTAGGTCCTTAGTTAAAAGAATATCTGAAGATAGTTATATAATCAGTGAGAAATTTATATGTTAAGACAAAGCTTTACAGTAGAGATATACAGATGTTGCATTTGTTATATAATTTTTTCAAGCCTTCTACAGGCTATAATAGTGTTTTTTAAGTTCACTCTTTTTTTTAATTAGAATTAGAGCAGTTAGAGTATCCTTTATTTCTTTCTTTTTGTTTCTTCTTTTTCTTTTTTTACTTCATCATCTTGTTATTCTATTTAGATCTTTTTCTTATTTTTTCTTTTCCCATTTTATATCTTCTTAACAAATAATTATAGTCTATTTATATATTTCTTTCTTTGTTTAGCTTTATAAGAAGAAGGAAAAATTTAAAGAAAAAAGAATACTTAGACTTTCTGACATAACCTTCTAGTTTGTCATTTAGATAAATTAGTGTAGCAGGTCATACTTGAGTATTTTTAGAATATTTGAGTAATATTAGACTTATTAAATTAGATTGATGTATTAATACTCTAAATTTTTGCTATATATCTAATAAAAGTACTAGTGAGACTGTCTAAGTATTAAAAAAAAAAAAATTTGTTTTTTATTAATTTATTTTTATTTTTTTAAAGAATAATAAAAAAAAAATTATTTATAAAGAGCAAAATAATGGAATGTAGTAGAAAACTACCCAAAATACTTTGCCTGTAGGGTCAAAAATTTTATCAATCATATTATATTCAGATACTACAAATTGTAACAAATTAAGTAAAAGTTAGCTTTATCTAATTTATATATTACTAGATAATATATCTACATAGTAAAGAAATAAGCAGAATGCAAAGCAGTTATTAGGCTATTTGCTAATAATTAAAATGTCTACTAAAAATAAACTAATAGTTAAACAAACTTTTTATAAGTGTTTAAAGATTATATTAGATTCAATTTGAAAGCTTTCATATTTAAGTATAAATTTGTTAATTAATCTGATTCTTTTCAAAAGTATCTACTATAATCACAGATTGGCCAGAAGCTATAATATTTTGTTTGACTTATAAGTTAATAAATTCAAATTATTTTTGCCATTTCTGTTTAATAAAAAGAAAAAATTTAGCAAAAACAAATTGTTTTAAATATAATTTGGTGTTTAGAAATCATAAAAATATGCTAAACTGTTTTAATAATAATGAAAAAATTTCAGTATGTATAGAATCTATATCAATTTCTTTTAGAACTTTAAATAAGTTTATTTTTAATTAATTTTATTTTATTTTAATAATTTCAAATAAATTTAATATAATCAATATAAAATATTTTTAAATTATCAATTGAATTTATTAAATTAAATTTAATTAATTTGAAACAATTTAAATTATTTTAAATAATTTTGAAACAATTCTAATTTAAATCAAATAATTTAACTTAATATAATTTAATTCTAATTAATTTGAAAATATTTAATTTATTTTAATATTTTTCAAATAATATAAATATTATTTTTCAATATAATATTCATTATTTATATTTAACTTTTTATTAATTTTAGTAATATAAATAATTATGAAGCTACAATAATTAAAAGAATGTATCATTTAGATTTGGGATTATTCAAATACTAAATTACTTTTACAAGCTTTCTTTTAAAAGAAAAATATAGTGTATTTATTCTTAACATTATTAATAATCAATTAGCTAATATTCCAAGATTTCTAAAACTTAAAATTTTTAAAAATAGAATTCAATCTCTTGCAAAAATTACTGCAAGTGAATATTATAATTTTATGAAAGTTATAATATTTGTTTTGAATAATTTAAATATAGGTGAATCTATTTAAATAAAGTTATTAGAGCTTTATAAAAGTTAAAATAATATGTATCTTTTAAGTCAATCTGAAGAGTTCTCTAAAAGTAACTTAGAAGAATTTGATATATGTGAATTATTTTACAACTATGCAAATTATTTTGAATTATTTTGAAATTATTAAATAAAATTTATTAACAAATTTTAATTTTGTTTAATTTTATTTAGAATCTTACAAAAAATTGGGCTCAAAAATTTATTTCTCTTTTTGGATTATATTCTGCTTCTAAATTAAAGCTTCTAAAATTGTATTCATAGATCTATTATATAGCTGATTTAATTTAAAAATATGGTTATTTAAATAGATTTTTTACTAAAACTTATAAAAGTCTATATAGAGATTTAGTAAAAATGCTATATTATTTAACAAATAAGCAAATATTAAGGATTAAATAATAAAAATAGTAATAATTGGTTTATTTTTTAATAATGTTTAAAATATTTTAATAAAAATTAACTAAATTTAATTATATTAAATAGGTTCAAAGACAGGCTATAGTATCAAAATTATTATTAGACAATTTAAAAAAATCTAAAACTATAAATTCTTTTAAATTTACTAATTTAATTTAGATATTTGGTTTAAATAATGCTCAAGAATTTATTGATCAAAAATTAAAAAATTGTAGACCAAATTCTAATATATATTCTGGGCTTAAAAACATATTAAATTATTTATTAATATATTTTAGTTTAACAAACCAAATTAATATAGATAAATATATAATTAAAATATATAGCTCAGTTATTTTAGAAAATGGGTCGATAATTCGAGCAACAGATAATTTTTATGAAAAAGCCTGGTATAGCAATATAGCAGTTGCTATGAATTCTGAAGAACTATTTGAATATTTGTTAGATGATAGAATTTGTTATAGACAGGTATTTATATATTGTATTTATATTTTTTATAAATTTTTTAAATAATAAATATTTAATATTTAATTTTTAGATATGTTTATTAATTAAAGTTAAACCAAATGAAAGAAATATATATAATCTTGCATTAATCTAGTGGTATAACTTTAAATATAAAAAGTATTTATATTATTATAAATATCCTAGACTTAAATAACAGAATTATATAACATTATTGATATTGAAACAATTAAAAATCAAGTTTATATAATTCTATGCTTTGATAAAACTAATGATTATTTAGTAAATAAATATATCTTCTAACAATTAAATCAGTTTAAAATAGTTTAGATAGTTTTAAAATAGTTTACAAAA